GGGTCTCAAAAGTTGAAAAAAAACTCAAAAAAGTGTTCAAATTGTTATGAAGAGCAAGCCTATTATTTCTTTTGCCTTTGTTTCGAAGCTTACTGTGGTACCCTGTAGAGCACGCGTTAAAGGCAAAGGTTCTGCATCCTGCTGCATGCGGATAATTTTAGATGGTTGAGATATAGATAGGGACCTAGTTTGATTTCTTTAGCCTATCCACACTCATGCTATAAGCCTATACCCTTCTTGAAGTTGATTGCATCAAAAGCATGAAACTTGTATAATTTTTTATGTTGCTTGCATGATTATACTCGGTGACTGTATTGCTGACCGTATCACGCATACAAATGTATAAAAGTCGATTATAATGTGAGTGGTTTCTACTTCTGTAAGTGATGCAATCAACAATACAGTAGTAATAATATGATACAATAATTTTATTTCTCGTTTCAATGTTTATTGTATAATTAGAATGAATTTGTGTTTCATTTTATTCTCTTTTCTGACCATTTCATTTAAAATACATTTTTGCATCAATTTGTACAAACTATACCTGATGACAAACATATTCACTGTTCATAATCTCTCCAATGAGACGAACATTAGGTTTTTAAATGAGATTTTAAAATGATTTTTAAAAAAAAAGATAAAATAAACAATATATGAATTAGGAGGAGGAGTATATGCTCTTACCTAATAAAATCCATTCATGCATTATCTGAAATATATGGAGGAGGATAGCTTGGCCATCATTTTGATGTAATATACAAGAGCTAGCAACAAAGACATGAATATGAAAACATGAAATCGGATTTGAATTTGAAGTCTCACAGAGCATTTACCAGACATGAATCTTTTGACCTAATGAGATTGAGAAGGAGGCCCTTTCGATTCATGATGTAGGGTATTGCAATTTGCAAATTTGTGATTCTTAACCCAAGCAACAAAGCAGAAGAGTTCCAGTCACAACCACCAGACCAATGATAAAAGTACCTTATAAATAATGCTCTTCCAGTATGATGGCCCATGCCATGACCTTTAACTTCAGAGTATCACTAGCAAATCTCAACCAACATATATAATCTAGTCCTACAAAGATATATATCTTGACCGCGGCATTTGTAGCTTCAGCGATAAAGTACTTACATTGCATTCAGAGTGATGATTTGATTCTCGGTCCCCTTCTGTACCCAGAAGAAAAGGTTGAAATCCATATAAGGTTACGTAATCATGGTGAAACAACCTCGTTATGTTAATTGAAGTTGAATAACTTAGTTTCGAAGTTTGTCACATCTAGCTAGATATACCATGAGAAAAAGATGGCTAGTCAAAAGTGCAAACTTGTGCAAAGTTATTCTATTTGATCATGATAAGATAAAATTTAGTAGCTAGCTAATAAGAGAATTGCAATGAGCCTTTGCTTTTTTTTGCTTTTGTTCCTTTCACATTTATGGTCTTTCTCTTAGTGTGACAGTTTAGAATATTGCTTTAGAGAGTTTTGCAAACTTTGGCAAAGTTATTCTATTTGATCATGATAAGATAAAATTTAGTAGCTAGCTAATAAGAGAATTGCAATGAGCCTTTTGCTTTTTTTTGCTTTTGTTCCTTTCACATTTATGGTCTTTCTCTTAGTGTGACAGTTTAGAATATTGCTTTAGAGAGTTTCCAATGCCAAACAGGGTGCTGGCCCTTTTTTTTTAGGTGAGACCCAAGGGTATTCACCGCCGACAGCAGTGACTAATCCCTTTCGTCGCGGGAGCTCTCCCAATGGAGGTAAACGGCTGGCCCCTTTTGGGGCTGTAAGACATAGACCCTGGATCAAAGATATGAAACATTATTGTCTATGAGCACATGTAATCTTCATGGATTTTCTCAGTTAGATTCACAATTATTCCCCCCTATAAAATAAAAAAAAGTTATGATTTACATGCCCATATATGGTATTTCAATTTTAAATAATAATATGGAAGTACAGAATTTAGGTAAGGGTTCAAGTCATGTAACTTGTTTGGCAGCATTTCCACCAAGTCAGTGGCACACCTAGAGAGAGTGCAAAGAGAGCTAACAAAAATAAGTAAACTCCTAGCTAACCCAAGGAAGCTGGTTAAGCACCCTTCTAACCTAACTTGGTTTGGTTATTAACCAATATCAATTTCATTTCAATTTGAATTTGAATTCATGATAGCCTCCAAAACCATTCAATTGTGAACTATTTGTCACTTGATTTTTATTTTATTTTTAAAGGAGAACCTAACCCACTCAAAATTCAAAAAGCCAACAAGGGGCAGTCTCATTGTTTGAGTACTATATACCCAAAGCTTTCCCTTTGGACTTTGGAGGCATTCAGGGCCTTTGATTATCCATCTACCAACTTTAATAGACACTGCCCTTGAAAAAATGAGCAAAGTAATGTGCTCATTGTTTAATGCAATACCAACTTTATGACTTGCAGCAGAAAATTTGGGAAAAAACCATTATGATCCAAATCTTTTATAAGTTTTATATACTGAAGAATAGAAGGAAATCGAACACTTTACTTAGCTCGGAGATAACACTGCTTTGACATAATATGTGAAAGTGAACACTTTTAACCTCTTAAGCTACAAACTTTTCACCAAAAATCAAAATTATTGTTTTTTTTTGTTTGAAAAAAATCATATTTATGTGTTGTTTGTTTTAGGTTGTGTGATTTGCTGAGATGAGTTGGTTTTGATGAAAGTATTTCGGCTGAGACCGTTGATTGCGGTTGGGAATAAAGCGCTCTGAGTCTGACATCGGATATGGGACCTCTTTTTTGTCTTTTTTTTTTCATTTTTCTAATTCATTTATTTGGTTTTCTTCACTTTTGTAGTGTGAAAATTTATAGAAATGCAGCTAACAAAGAGGGCATCATTTTAAGAATAAATTACAGGAAATGCCAAGTCCTTTTGACGCTCGTGTAAACACAAGTTCTGGTTTTTTATTTTACCCTGGGTACTGTCGGTGGACTTTTTATAAAATGAATTTTCCAGATAGGAAAAAAAAGAAGAAATTAAATCATTAAATGGTGGTGAGTGTTGTTTGTCGGGTTGTCGGGCATTCGAATCCTGGTTACAGGTCAATCTTCTTGGGTATCATGTTACACGAACCAGATGCAACCACGCCGCCACCTTCCTTGTCCTTGATATCGTTGCCATTTTATGATTTTGCCCTTTCAAATTAGAGGATAGGTTGATACAAGCGATATCAGAGAAATGGAAGAATCGAATGTAAAATTCCGGACGTATAAATATATGTTGAGTTTTTTTAATTTCACAAAGATAAAACGAGAATATTAGGATCAGTCGCGTACATGATCGCATGATTAGTTGTTGTTGCGTATAAATCTCAAGTTAGAAGCTTGAACTTAGTCATCTTTCACAAATTCATAGTGAAAATGTCACTTTAGCTTGTTATATTTTAACAAATTTATTAATGATTGGTCTAAAATGACTATATGATTACAAGGAGAGTTGAACTTTGTGTTGTTAGCTATAGGTTAGCTTAGGTTTTTTCTTCATTTGAAATTTGACTTTTTTTGTTAAAAGGGAGAGAGAATGCGTCGAAGGGTAAACTTGTAACAAACCACTAGGTTTCTTCTTGCTAGAGAATGTGCCCAAAATCGTTAGGTTTCTTCTTGCTAGTTTCATAAAACAAATCATATAATTTTCCAATAAAATCTGACAGTGATTTATCTATTCATTTAATTTATAAATAATTGAGAAAATATGTTCATTTAATTCATTTGAATGACATTCATATTCCCAAGCACACGGATATCGTACTGCATGGGCATATACATAGCAAGAAATTAATGCTCAAAATGCAACCCAATTTATGAACACCAGTAAAATATTGAACAAGGGACCTCTTCTCCAATCTCCAAGTACTGTGGATGGATCTCCCTCTCTGTCCTCCACAAATATGATATGCTAATGCTAGCTCCTCCTCCTTCCTCACATGGATTCTTCAGACTTGACAGCAAACCAATTCCAATCTCAATCGCTCACATTTTCAAGCTAGCAAACGTGGTCAATACTTGTGTGTTTCTTTATAAACATTCATTGAACGTTATGCAGATTTTCTGTCAGTGATGAGATTGGACAATTTCTTCACCTCTAGAAAAGCATTTGGTAAATCCTTTCTCTCACCGGTAGTTCACGTGCTTGTGTTTGAACTATAACAAAAGAATAAAACTATTTGTATCATATTTACTCACCGACATCGCTCTAACCAAAGTTCAAACTAACCGATTAAAAAACAGTTTCACCCTTGTTGCTGTAATAGTTTAACTCCCTGCATCCCCATTCTCATAGAAACTAGCATATACATGACAAAACGATCGAGCGGTGACAAAAAGTACAAATATTCGCGGTAAGGAAAGTTCTAAAGATTGTTACGAGACAAAAGACAATGAAGACATATTGGGTAAATCAAGTGAAATTTCGTTTTTCCTATGCAAATTATGCACTAAATTATTTCATTAAACTTCACCAAGGTCAACATATTTTCTTAATCGCATGTTTACAGCCAATGAAACTCGGCCACGCAAGTACCAAATCACACCAATGCCCACGCAGGTTCACACTCACACTCGTGTGGCTTGTCTTACCAGATAAACAGCAGGGGTAAAATGGGGAATTCAACTGTGGGACACACCCAGAGGACAGAAACTGAAACCCTTTTGACTCTTCCACTGCAGCTTCCTAACCCCTTTCTTGTTTTGGTAATTCTCAACCTCAGGCCCTCTTCCCTCCAAACCTGCACCGAGTCTGTGCTTCTTAAACTAAGTTTGGCAAAACCCTAATTTATTTATAAAAAAGAAAACATTTTTATTTATTTTTTCTCCTCATAGTCTCTGGTAACTTTTCCCTTCCACGCATACAATAAATACACACCGACCTTCCCAGGAACACCCACATGACTCTGTTCTTTTCTCAACTGTTTTCAGCCCTCGAAAAGAGAAATAATGTGAAGGAAAATAAAATAAACAAAATTATTACAAATGAAAAATAAATAAATATTTTTTTTCGGTCCATGCTGATTTCTGGGCATTTGTACTTTTCCACTCTCAACAATATAAAGAGGCCCTTGTGCTCCTCCCTCCCTCCCAATCCTTACAAACTGTGCCTCTCTAAAGGTCTCTCCTTTTTTTCAGTCTTCTTAGGGGTTGCTCTGTTTCTGTTTGGTTTATCAGAAATTTTAGCTGATAAACCATCCAACATTGCCAATTCTTTGCCTTTTGAGGTTGAAAAAGGAACAATAGTTTCGGTTTTTGATTCACATTCAGCTTCTGTTTCTCTCTGTTTTTTTACTTTAAAAACTCAACTCTGTTACTGTTTCATATGGAGAAGTTTGTGAGACTCATTTCCATGGCTCCTCTGCTTCTGCTTCTCTGTTTCCCTCTTGCTTTAGCTGGCCATGACTATGGCCAAGCTCTGAGCAAGAGCATTCTCTTCTTCGAAGCTCAGAGATCTGGGTTCCTTCCAAACAACCAGAGAGTCACTTGGAGAGCCAACTCTGGCTTGTATGATGGCAAGGCTAGTGGGGTAAGTTCTAATCTTTTTACTTAAAAATCCCAACTGGGTTTATGTCAAAATTGCTCAATTAATTTACCTTTCTCAATAATTTTGCACATAAATTTACTCTTGGTTGAAATTGGATGAATTTGTAGGTGGATCTAGTGGGAGGTTACTATGATGCAGGGGACAATGTGAAGTTTGGGCTGCCCATGGCATTCACAGTGACAATGATGTCCTGGAGTATCATAGAGTATGGCAAGCAAATGGCTGCAAGTGGTGAGCTTGGTCATGCCATGGAAGCTGTCAAGTGGGGCACTGACTACTTCATCAAAGCCCACCCTGAACCCTATGTTCTCTATGGAGAGGTAGCTTTCCATTCAAGTTCATAACTTTTGCCCTTCCTCCAACTCAAAAAGAAACAATTTTTTTTTTAAAGTTCTGTTAACTTCTGGCTTTAGTTAGCATCACTTGAAAAAGAACCCAAATTTTAGTATTTTATTATTTGTTTGTGTCTTCCCTCCAATAGGTTTTTTATTTTTGATAAATGATATTTATTTGTAAAGTGATGTTAATTTTGTTGGTTGGTGTTAATCTATGTGATTAGGTGGGAGATGGGAACACTGACCACTACTGCTGGCAAAGACCCGAGGACATGACCACTGACCGCCGGGCTTACAAGATCAGCCCGAGCAATCCCGGGTCGGATCTCGCCGGAGAAACCGCCGCAGCCATGGCCGCCGCCTCCATTGTCTTCCGCCGCTCCAACCCCGCCTACGCCAGTGAGCTCCTCCGCCATGCCCACCAGGTTCGTCTTACGCATAACTTACTTCAACCAAGTCATTTTAATGCTTTTTTCCACAGCGTTTTTCTTGTTTTTTTATATAAAAAAAACAGTAACTGTTGTAATTTGGTCCGTTGGTTTTAGAAAGAAAAAGTGTTTTCTGAAAAAGACTGGTTGAAAACGTTTCTGTTGGGGGCCTGTGGGGACCACTAGCGTACGTTAGCCATGTGCGGCATCCATTTCGCGCGGGACCGGCGCATGATAATCAACTGCCCTAGTTAATAAGCAGTTATAGTTATCTTGCTTTTTACTCTTTATGTCAGGCTGGTCGTTGTTACTCCCCAGTGAACGTTAGCATCGTATTTATTACACAAAAATAATTACTTTAAAAAGTGGTAAATCGGCAGAAATAGGTTAGGCCATTTAGCGAGGGCACTGAGCCGACTCTCAAGTTCGAATATATTTCCTCATGTATTAGATTAATTTAGAATCCATTTGTATAAAAAAAAATAAAGTGTGGCGGCGTAGTTTAGATGCCCATGTACTTAAATTGGGGTAAAAAGCTTTCGGCGCGTAATTTGGATCTTGGGGTACATTTTTGCCCGTCGATCACGGAGACTGTGTTGCTTGACCCCACAGATCTATTGCACAGTCTGATCCTGGCCGTCCGGGTTTAACCGATCCATGAAAAGTGTGGATGTTATTAGTTCTTTCACGTGCGACTTTTGTCGGTGGTACCGTACACAACACCTACCACATCCACAAAAACAGCACTCACCTTCCTTTTGTACTTGCATAAATTCTATTCCCATAATACCCTCACTCTTTGCTACTAATTTACGTGAAACACCACTGGTCTTGCTCTTACACTACTACTGGCACTTTGGTTGGTTATGCAGCTGTTTGATTTTGCGGACAAGTACAGGGGCAAATATGACAGCAGCATCACTGTGGCCCAAAAGTACTACAGATCCATCAGTGGCTACAATGTACGTTATTGGGCCCAACGTTGGGCTTGCTTTTACATTTCAGTTTTTAGACCAGGCCCAATAAAGCCCATTCAATTTTTCTGATTGATTGTGTTTGAATTATGTACAGGATGAGTTGCTATGGGCTGCTGCTTGGTTGTTCCAGGCAACCAACAATCAGTACTATTTGAACTACCTTGGAAACAATGGTGACTCCATGGGTGGAACTGGTTGGGGCATGACCGAGTTCGGTTGGGATGTCAAATATTCCGGTGTTCAGACCCTTGTTGCCAAGGTAACCGACCCTTTAACTGGTTTTTTTATTTTTAATAAAATCAACAATTGTCGTTCATGAGATTTGACCAAATGGTCACTGGCATTATATGTATTATTGTAAATTGCATAGATTGAATTTATAGCCATATGGGAGCCAACTAATTATATGTTTTTCTTGCGTGACAGTTCTTAATGCAAGGTAAAGCAGGTCGCAACACAGCAGTCTTTGAGAAGTTCCAACAGAAGGCTGAGTACTTCATGTGTTCATGCATCGGAAAGGGCAGCCGAAATGCGCAGAAGACTCCTGGTGGCCTGATTTTCCGCCAGAGGTGGAACAACATGCAGTTTGTCACAAGTGCCTCCTTCTTGGCCACGGTCTACTCCGACTACCTCACATCTGCCGGGAAGACATTGAACTGTGCTGCTGGCAATGTGGCACCATCCGAGCTTCTATCTTTCGCGAAATCTCAGGTAATTCAGCCCGAAACAAGCTCTGATAAAATCATACAGAACACTCTGACTTTGCGAAAGCATGTAATTTGATCCTAATGATTTGTTGAAATCCTCAGGTTGACTACATTCTTGGTGACAACCCTAGAGCCACTAGCTACATGGTGGGCTATGGAAACAACTTCCCTCAACAAGTTCACCACAGGGCTTCCTCAATTGTTTCCTACAAGAAGGACTCTTCCTTTGTGAGCTGCAGGGGAGGCTATGCCACTTGGTTTAGCAGGAAAGCAAGTGATCCCAATCTTCTCACTGGTGCCATTGTTGGCGGACCTGATGCCTATGACAACTTTGCTGATCAGAGAGACAACTATGAGCAGACTGAGCCTGCTACCTACAACAATGCTCCTCTTCTCGGTATATTGGCACGCTTGAACGCCGGCCATGGCGGGTACAGCCAGCTCCTACCAGGTATATTGATTGTGATGATTGCTTCTAAAACTTTCTTGATTGAAATTTTCTTTTTGTAATGGCAATTAATTGATGTGTTTTTTCTTACAGTGGTTACCACCCAACCAAAAGTAGCTCCACTACCTAAAATCACTCCAGTTGCTCCAGGTATTACATGGCCTCTTTTTCTTGTCAAGGCTTTCAATTCAACTAGCCCTAACATGAGTTGTTGGAAAGAGATCTAAAATGAGTTTCTTTTGTTTTTGTTTTTCTATTTTTTGCAGCTTCATCTTCTAGCCCTATTGCCATTCAGCAAAAGCTAACAACTTCTTGGGTTTCCAAGGGAGTAACTTACTACAGATATTCCACAGTAGTGACCAACAAGTCTGCCAAGACACTAACAAACCTCAAGCTTTCAGTATCCAAACTTTATGGCCCTATTTGGGGCCTCACAAAGGCCGGCGATTCCTATGTTTTCCCATCATGGATCAACTCTTTACCGGCGGGAAAGAGCCTGGAGTTTGTCTACATCCACTCTGCTTCTCCAGCAGATGTCGCAGTCTCAAGCTACTCATTAGCCTAAGAAAGGAAGAAAACTCATTGAAACAAAGGAGAGAGGTTCACACAGTTTCTGGGATGGTATTGTAAGAATTGTGCAGCTATACAATTGGAGACCAGAAAAAAAAAAAGGACTTTTTCTTTTCCTTTTCAAAAAGTACTTATGATTGGGATCTGCATAGGCTTTTTAGACGATGTTAGGTCAAATAAGTATGAAGATTGGGGAAGAAAGGAGTGAAGAGACGGGTTAAAATGAGTGCTCATCCTCTTTCACCTCAACTTTCAGTAGAGTTATATAGATAGGTTTTGAGAGAGTAACAGTTTAAACGTGGGTTGAGAGGGGTGAAAATGACTTCCTCTCAACTCGTTTTCAAGAAGTCTTAAGTGTGAGGGTTGAGAGGGGTGAAAATGACTTCCTCTCAACTCGTTTTCAAGAAGTCTTGTTTCTTTGTACTTAAGCAGCTTTGAATGTCCGTCTTCGTTTCCTTTTTTGTGTTGTGAATGTTGTAAGCTTTGCAACATTTTTAAATCTTTGAATGGAAATATAGTTTGTGCAATGTTATTGTGTCTAATCTGCCTCATGTTTCTGCAACAGTTTTTGAACTTCTAACAGCCCAAGTCATTTTTCTTTTTGAAAAGACAGCCCAAGTCATTTAGACATTAATCAACACCTGCCATGGTAAAAGGCCTTGTAGTTTATAACCACATCACAGCTAATGGTGCAAGGGACTTAATCTCAAGCCGTTAAGAGTATTTACACTTGTATTTGAGTGGTGCTAGGTTCGATTTCCCCTACCCCAATATGGCTTGTATTATTATTAATAATAAAAAAGATGAGTCCAATGGTTATGATCTTCTGTGACAAGATAAACTACTGGAAAAGCCAATAAAAGGCCTTGTGCATGTGTGGCCCCATTGTTGCTTGCCAGCAGAAGAGCCTGCTCAGGCAATGCAACGCACAGTAACAACATATTTTCTTCCGATCTAAAGCATGGAACTCCTAAAATGAAGTTGCCAAATACACGGGCAGTTGCTGCCTTTCCTTAAACAACCATTAGACTTCATATTTCCTTAATGTTTTGTAGTTGCTAGTTTGCCGTATATATAGGTTTGTTTTTTCTTCAAAAATCAACATAGGCTACAACCCACCATAGTCTTGTGAGTGGTACCGCCAGTGGTGGAGTTGTTCATGTCATGTGATAGTGTTGATTTTGAGAACAGTTTAGAGTGAAGTTATTCATGTCAAGCGATATAAATTTGTTGATTGCGGGAATGGAATAGCTAATACATATCATATCTTCATTTTTAATTAAGTAATTATAAGAAGGATGGCACGGGCAGTTGCTGCCTAGTTCCAAGCCTCATTATCAGTGGAAAGAACTTGAGTGGAGTTGTTCATATCATGTGACAGTGTTGATTTTGAGAACAGTCTAGAATGAAGTTGTTCATGCCACGCGGTGTAAATTTGTTGATTGCGGGAATGGAATAGCTAATACATATCATATCTTCATTTTTAATTAAGTAATTATAAGAAGGATGGCATAAAAAGATTACGATCCACATTGACCACCTCACCTTTCTCATCTCCCTCTCTCCACAAACACCTCCCACCATTGAATTTGTAAGCTTAATTATGACTAACCAAACAAAAATGGATTTTGAACCTTAAACGTATACAAACGTGACAAAAATCGCAATTTTTCAAAACTTTAGCTTAGTGCATGCTACAAAAACACGATGAAATACCAAATTAAAAAAAACAAAACCAGACCCCAAAATAAATACACAGTACGTAGATGTAAAATTTAACTCAACGAAGCTCAACTACGATAACAGTAATATTATCTTTACTACCTCGCGCCAAAGCCAGCTGCGCCAGCAGCGCCGCCGCATTCGCCGGCGCCGCGCTCGAGCCGCTCATCCCCTCCGAAAACTGCCTCTTCGTCTGCGCATCCAGGCACCTCCTCACCACCTGGCACACGCACTCATTCGTTACGACATCCCAAAGTCCGTCGCTCGCGATCACCAGAAAATCGCAGCACTCCGTCCTCTGGCTGATCGTGACCTCCGGCTCCGATATGACGAACGGCTTCAAGTAGTGGTCACCGATCGACCGCGACGTCGCCAGAACTCCCAGAACGCGGCAGCCGTTCCAATTGATCACTCTCCCGCCCGCCGCCTCCACCCGCTCCAGCTCGTCGGGGCGGTCCGGGTTGTGGTCACGTGACAGGGGAGTCGCGACGCCGTCCCGGCAGAGGACGGCACGTGAGTTTCCGGAATTGGCCACGACTACCTCATTTTTCCCCACCATGACTACCACCGCGCTGGACCCCACCGTGTTCACCCAATTTGTGTCCGTATCGTCGTCGGCGGGGGTCCC